AACTACTTAGACAGTATAGAGATGTATTTAGTATGTCAGACACAGACATTGGTCACACAGATGCAGTTCGTCATAGAATTGATCTCACTGATGATACACCGTTCAAGCAGAGACATAGGCGTATACCACCAGCCATGTTTGATGAAGTTCGTACACATCTACAACAACTACTCACAGCTGGCATAATACGACGCTCACACTCACCTTGGTCATCTAATGTAGTGCTTTGTCGAAAGAAGGATGGGAAACTCAGAATGTGTATTGATTACAGACAACTTAATCAAAGGTCCGTGAAGGATTCATACGCTTTGCCACGCAGCGAAGAGATACTAGACGCTCTAGGAGGTAACACGCTATATACAGTACTTGATATGAAGAGCGGGTACCATCAGGTGGAGGTAGAAGAGTCCCACAAGCAGAGAACTGCTTTCACTGTAGGTCCACTAGGCTTTTACGAATTCAACCGCTTGCCGTTTGGATTAGTCAACAGCCCAGCGACATATCAGAGGTTAATGGAAGAGATCCTAGGAGACCTCCATCTTGATATCTGCTTCATTTATCTGGATGATCTTATAATATTCTCCGATACTTACGAGGAACATCTGGTCAGATTAGAGAAAGTACTGCAGAGGCTAAGAGAAAGCGGACTTAAATTATCTCCAAAGAAATGCTCATTCCTTCAAGAGAAAGTTAAATATATTGGTCACATCGTCTCCAAAGATGGCATACAACCAGATCCTGCAAAGATAGACAAGGTAACCAACTGGCCACGTCCGACAACACCAGAAGAAGTCCGTCGTTTCCTTGGCTTTGTAGGATACTACCGGAAGTTCGTCAAAGATTTTTCGAAAATAGCAAGACCACTCACCGATCTAATGCCTCCACCGAAAAGTTCATCAAAGAAACGTAAGCCACGACTCCGAGATCCAAACAGTCAATCATGGATTTGGGGAGATCTTCAAGAAAAGGCTTTCCAAACACTTAAAACAGCATTAGCTTCACCACCTATACTTGGTTTTCCACGATACAATAAACAGTTCGAGTTACACACTGATGCATCCATGCAAGGCTTAGGAGCTGTATTATATCAAGAACAGGACAACAAGAAGCGTGTCATAGCTTACGCCAGTAGAGGACTCAGTAAGACCGAGCGAAATTACCCAGTACACAAATTAGAATTTTTGGCATTAAAATGGGCTGTCACCGAGAAATTCCACGACTACTTATATGGAAACACCTTTACAGTATTGACAGACAACAATCCTCTAACGTACGTGCTAACATCAGCCAAACTAGATGCAACTGGTCACCGTTGGATTGCAGCATTAGCATCATACAACTTTAACATCATCTACAGACCAGGTTCCAAAAATGCCGATGCTGATTCTTTATCGAGAATGCCTGAGTTACTTGGACGTGAACCATCAAACTTAGATGCTACTTCTGTAAAAGCCATCTGCAATCTTCAGCATACTCAACCTTTCGTCGATAGTCTGTCAATGAATACTACTACAATCGTGGATGATACATCTTTACCAGCACAGCATTTGGTTGACATTAAATCAGAACAGAAGAATGATTACAGAATGAAAGAATGGATTTATTGGGTATCTGAACACCGCAAGCCAACAAAAGAACAACTAGAAAGATCATCAGAGAATACATGGTTCATCAATAACTTCGACAAGTTGCAACTGAAAGATGGTGTTCTATTCAGAGAAGCTACACTTGATTTCCAGCCAGTTACACAACTTGTTTTACCAGAAACTTACGTTCCGAAAGTACTGAAAGCACTTCACGATGACATGGGCCACCAAGGACGAGATAAGACACTGTCACTTATAAGAGATATATTTGTATGGTATGGGATGACAAGAGATGTAGATCAGTGGATTACGCAATGTAACAGATGTATAAGACGGAAAACACCAACTAATGAAAGGGCACCACTAGTTAGCATTGAAACATACCAACCACTTGAACTAGTATGCATGGATTATTTGTCACTGGAAAGATCCAAAGGAGGTTTTGAAAATGTTCTTGTCATTACCGATCACTTTACCCGGTATGCCTTGGCAATTCCAACGAAAAATCAAACAGCAAAGACTACCGCCGAAGCCTTTTTCAACCACTTTGTAGTACATTACGGCTTGCCAAAACGAATTCACAGCGACCAAGGTGCCAACTTTGAATCAAATATCATTAAAGAACTATGTAACATCACAGGCATGCAGAAATCACGTACTACACCGTACCATCCTATGGGCAACGGAAATACAGAGCGTTTTAATCGAACATTACTGAGTATGTTGGGTACACTGGAAACAACGCAGAAGAAAGACTGGAAAGCACACATAGCTGGATTGGTTCACGCTTACAACTGCACTAGACAGACAACTACCAGATACTCACCTTACTTCCTTATGTTTGGTAGAGAACCAAGATTACCGATTGACATCGCTTTCAACCTTCCCGATAATGAACAAAAGCAACCAGTGACAAAGTACATTGAAACCGTACAGAAACGATTGAAAGAGGCATATCAGTTGGCAACAAAACACTCGAAAATAGGGAAAGACAGACAGAAATACAACTATAACAAGAAAGCTAGATCAGCCATCTTACAAACCGGCGACAGAGTCCTAGTAAAGATCTTGGCCTTCGACGGTAAACATAAGCTAGCTGACAAGTGGGAAGAAGATCCATACCAGATTGTTAATCAGCCTAACAAAGAAATACCTGTGTATGAGGTCCAGAAAGAAAACGGAACTGGAAGAAAGAAGACACTTCATCGAAATCTTCTACTTCCAATTGGATTTCTGCCAAAGACTAATGAGTCTGAGATAACTCCTGCACCTAGACAGAAGCGTAAACCGAAGAAGTCTGGACGACCACCGACGAAGTCTGTTGGGGACAGCATTGAAAAGATGACTGCATTGGAATCAGATGAGGAGTCGGAGCAGGAGTATTGGATAATAGAGACAGGAAGGAGTACACCTAGCAACACTGACAGTGAAGCAGATATGGTAGAAAGACCTGGGATAGATGATGTAACTATCAGCGACACGGGTGACGATCATGATGCCGTTGGTAGTAGCCAGGTTAATGGTTTAGTAGAGGACGCTTTACCTTCAGACATAGGAAATGCTGAAGAACCTACCCCTGGAACAGAGGATGTTGAACCTGCAGCGACTGGTCAGAATATTGAAGCTGACGCTTTAGAATCAAATAATGGCAGTGCGTTGACGGAGGATCCATCTCTAGATGAAATGGCAGATGAACCCACAGATGATGAAACTCCAACAGTACAACCAGTTAGAGAAAGAAGACGTAGATACTTACCTACACCACCACGTCACATACCAGAAACTACCACACTAGCTAGATCTCAGAGAAATCGGCAACCACCGAAGTACCTGCAAGATTATATAACTACAGCAAAGCAGGCCACCACTAAACCAGATTGGTTGGAAAAAGTACATTGGTTGGAAAGTCAGGCAGAAACAGGACGATTTAGAGGTCTAGAGATTGAACTATCTAGGGCTATCATCAAGATTATTGAGAACAGTTGATAATGTAAAACGCTTGACGAGGACGACAAGTTCATAAAAGAGGGGAGAAAGACACAATGACATGGAAGTCATTTTCTTCAACAGAGGGGAGAATGTAGTAGTGTCATTTTTACGCCTATTAAATAACAGTAAAAATATCTTTATGACGTACTTTAAATTAATTGTATTTATTATAAAAGTTTAACTCTTGAATTTTGATGAAGCAATATTATTATTTAATTCCAAATCTACACTTTACATTTTTATATTTAGTTCATGAATATTCAAAAGGTTCTTAGTTAAAATTGCGTATCTGATTGGTCATTGTGATTTCGCGGTCAATTTATATTTTGTATTGACCAGGTAGATTTGAACGGGAACTTGAAATGACAGCCACATGATATTGTGTGTCCCGAGTTATATTACCTGTATATTATTATTTTCATTCATTGTGGACACAACATATATCTGATTAATGACTCCATTGATGTAGTTATATACAGAGTATTACTTGTGAACTGTGCCTACTCCTTACCAGTAAAACTCACTCCACAAGTGAGTTTATTTTCTATTACTGGTATTAAATCATCCGAACCCTATAGAACAGAGTTTGTTATTTACTTAATCCAAGATACGACCCTGTTACAGAAATACTTTATATTCATGGATGTTCTGCTCCAGTTAACTTTCGGATCCAAGACAAGCTAATAGCAAACTCAACAACTATATTTGAATATGCATGATATGAACGTAGTTATACCCGTGTATACAGCTACGACTAGCTTGCATGTCAAATTGTTAATATCATCAAAGTCATTTAAAAACTATTTTCAGATGTTGCATGTCGAGTTAACATAAAATAACAATGAAAATTCATCGCACCGCAAAAAAATCCACATCAGAAATGATTGCACTTCCAGTGATAATTCATCGCATCTATAGTTAAAATGAATCGCAGTAAGTAATTAATATTATGGATTCTGCTGCTTTATTTACACTTTTTTGGACTTTAATCCTGTTATTATACATTAAAAAGTTATATTCTTATGAAATTGTGTTAAAACATACATTCAAATCAATTATTTTGTATTTTCATAAAGTAAACAAACGCAGTTTTTCCCATCATTCTTTATTCTACAATAGACATACTCGCATACAAGCCATACAACAGTGAAAATGAACTAACTGGATTCGCACTTTATATACACTGTTATATGGTACATGGTAAATTTACAACACATTTTGAAATATGAAACGACCATTTTTTATGAATTATTCAAATAAAACAGTAAAGGCAAATTTGTTTATTTTACAAATATGAATAAAGGGTCTAAATAAAAGGACCTCATAATGTTACCAAATGTAGACTTTGTCATTTGTCATTGGTCATAGGACAAACTACAGAAAGGACGAATACAGCAGATTACCACACTCGAAAACTGATGACGTAGTGCACATACGGGTTGCAATCCGTGAAAATATATGTCTGCATAAAAACGTAATGGGTCGCATAAGTTGAACTATGAATCAATCATTCTTCTTTGTTTAACAAATGTCATTGGTTAGAAATTTTTTTCCGTCAAAGGTGAATCCAAATGACTGCACTATCCAAGTTTGATAGGTCAGAGAGCAGCATGAGCTCCACATTGCTGCAAAAACTGTTCACGTTCCCGAACCTGGTCCACGCAGTAGCAGGTGCAGCCGTAAGTGTTTGTGCCAATATAACTATTTGAAGAATAAGTAACAATACATGTCATTTTTGACCCAATTTTTATTAATGTTTGTATATATGTGTGGAATAGTGGACTCACTTGAGATTGGTCTTTACTAATAAAGGGAACCCAAATCCAGCAACTGGTTGAGTTGACTCATCTAATGAGTCCACTCAAGATAAGTACCTCAATCATGAACATGATGAAAAGTGTTGTTTAAACATTGTAGTAGATTATTTAATAATCTAGTACACCTTACATGTATCTCTATTTGTCCACCATTACCTGAGACATATATATACACATGGTGTATATACATGTATGCCTCTGCCATTACTGAACATCACAAAGGTTCCCTAATTTTTGATGTCACAATAGAAAATTTGTGACGCCACAAAGGAAAAGTGATTGTTGTGTCATGTCATTAGTTCAAGTGTCACAGATTGTTGTGTCATGTCAATAGTTCAAGTGTCGCAGATTCCCAAACAGCGAAAAATTATAGGTTTCATAACGAAGGCGAGTTTATTATTACTATTTAAATTAAATAATGAGAGTTGATACCATATAGCGGGTTATTTTCACGATTTAAGGGCAACAAAATGTACGAAAATTTTTGGCGGTTTTTATGTTAGCGGATTCTTTAATCCCAATTGAATATTTTGGCGGATACTGAAATGGTTCTACTTAAAAATTTGTAAAAATTGACAAACAAGGGTCTATTGTTATGGTTAAATGATTGTTTTTCCTGCATGACGTCTTATTTATTGACTATATTTTGATACAGTTAATCAATAGAATACAAGTATATAGTTATTTTTCACAGGTGTACAAATTTCTTGTAAATATTACGGTTGACCGGACCTTTGATGTACTAATTAGATTATAAAATTATCATGAGTGACTTGCAACTCTTATATAATTTGACACTAATTAATAAGGATAAAATACCTGACAAGCGTACCTCACACTCTTATATCATTATTTATTTTATGTAATCAATAAACTAATTAATACCTGAAAGCCAGTGAACAATGGCCTTTGGCATTTATGTTGTTCAAGTTAACAAGAACCGTGATTGATCCGTCGAACGGGAAAAAAATAGATAGTTTACAAAACGCTTTAACCTACAAAGTATCGAACGTATGCACAAATTTTCGCGGAATTTATTTTCGCGATTTCTCCTGACCCGCCAAAATAAGCGAAAATAACCCGCTATACGGTAATATGCGATATCCAGTTCTCTAATGGTCAACACTCTCATTGTACATGTGTTACTGAATTAATAATTCCTCAAATCGTTGATTTAGTCTTGTGCACATACCAGTATGATGTCATACATATACAAAATGTATGTCATGTTCTGGAATCAAATTTTAACATCAGACATTTTTAAACTTTTTGTAAGCTTCAGAATGTAATAAAATTTGACAAAAAGAAGATTTTCAGGTGAAAAGTTTGAGTGTTTTGTATATTTTTGAAGAAATCACATATTTCCGTTGCTATGGAGGAAATGTACATCGTCTTAACCTTTGAAAGTCATCAATGACCTAACGAATAGCCAATGGAAATGTTGTAATATCGTCTCATACATGATGTTGGATAAGCCAATCAAATTAACACAGTTTTCATATCACACTCTGTGCAGTTCCTATCACTTCAGTAGTGACTGATGCTTTATGTGAATTGGGCTGAAGATGACCCCTTTGCAACACAGCTACACATTAATGAATTAGAGGCTTTTTCAATGGCGTTGATAGTAAAGCAATGGGCCCAAAATTGGCGTGGCAAGCGTATTATGGATTACTGTGATAATGCGGTTACAGAAAGTTGCATCGATAAATGTACCTCACAAAATGCAATTTTGATGTAATTTTTGCGCGAGTTGTTTTGGTTGTCAGCAACATACAATTATCATTTAAAAGCTAAGCATGTTCCAGGCAAAGCAAATTTTCTTGCGGATCACATTTCACGTTTACATGATTTGACTTCCTGTGAAAAAATTTTGTGTTCAACCACCATTGCTTTTACGCGATCTGGTTAAGCACATATCTAGTAACACCCTTCGTTTTCTTTTATTTAGGCTCACTGGTATCCAAGGAGATGACAACACTGGATAGTACTGTGGCAAAAGTTAGAAATTATACTTATGCTGAGTCTACCAAAAAGACGTATCAAAACTATTTAAAATCCTATATGGAATTCTGTAGAAGAATTAACATTGCCCTTGTTCCTTTGAGTCCTGTAAACTTAGCCAGATATGTAGCCTATTTGTCTGCTAGACTACAGTTTAACTCCATAAATAATTATTTGTCAATTGTCTGTTTGTTACATTTAGAAGCAGGGGTTACGTCCCCATTAGAGTAATTTTTTATGGATTATGTACTCAAAGGTGCTAAGCGTGTATTAGGATGCACGGTTCATAGCAAGTTGCCTTTAACGCCAAAGATTTTAAATGAAATATTCACTTTGTTGTCATTAAACAGTAGTAAAGACTTATGCTTTTGGGCAGCCTGCTTAGTTGCCTTCTTTTCCTTTTTAAGAAAGTCAAATCTATTTGCTCTGTCTCTTTCAGCTTTTGATCCTTTACGACAATTATCCACGTGCAGACGATATTTACCAATGAAATCATGTCCACAGATGTGATAAGGACAAAGGACAATGTTTCATATGCAAAAGTGTCCTTCATAGAAAGGACGGTATTTCATGTGAAAAAGTGTCCACCCTCAATACCTACAAAATGTATACATAGCTTCAGTTCTTTATCTAAATTGAAGTTTTAAAATAAGCATGTGGGTTTTGTCTCTATCAAAACATAGCATGTAAACTGGAGGATTGAATTCATACAAAATGTGATCATCAACATGTGTAATTAAACATAAATTATACAATAAAACATGTACTAAAATCCCCATGGTGATTTTCAAAAGTTGGCAGGTATGTTATTGAGATGGTACATTTACTTGCATGTGCTCCATAAATGCGGGTTCAAAAACTATGTATTAAAAAGACCAAAAGTTGTGTTTATTTCATGGAAATGCGTAGTAGGGCCTTTTTCATGACACCACAGCTGTATTTATTGTGACGTCATGGTTAAAAAGCTACTGTTATTTTTTAGTTTTCCATTATCTCAGCTTTAAAACAGACATAAATAGAAATCAAATATTTAAAGTTCAAATTTCAGTGAAAATATAGTAAAAAGAGGGCCCTTATTGCACACTGTTCTTAAGATACTCTGCCAACATTTATTTCATTGTTTTTAAATTTGCTAATTTATGGACTTTGCCAACATTTCTTTCATCGTTCATCCATTTATAGTGTGATAACCTTACTACATAGGGTTGCTTTTTTTACGTTAGGACAGAATACATGTAGGTCTGATATGTATTCTCTATTGCTTTAAAATTGGCATGATAAAACACAAGGTCATGTTTTTCTCTGACTGTTGATGACATCTTTACACTAAATCCATTGGATGTTGGATGTGTACTGATTGATATTTTAGTCTTAGATGCATGATTTTTTTATTAGTTGTTATTGGCTTTGAACTAGCTGTCAGTAACTGCGAGTACTCTCAGATTAGTCTAGTCAATTTGGTGAACAACCTGCAACTAATTGCAACACAAAGTTTTTCTCTGAAAAACAAGCCTGTTACTATATATGAACAACATACTAAAAATCTACAAAAATATATTTTGTGGAAAGTGGTGTAATTAATCAAACTTTTTAGTAGTAAAAGTAAGGTAATCTGAGTTGTTTCCCCTTATTTGGCAAATTTGAAAAAAATTGAATCATATAAAAATGTTTTGTTTTTTTAAAAAAACAGTCGAAATAAAAGATATAACACACAATTTTCTCAATTTAAAAGAGAAGTATCACAAATAAATTTCTTTCCTCTCTCAAAATTTGTATATTTTGATAAAAATATAGACTGATTATGTTCTGCTATTTTACAATCCAAGATTCTAATTCTCCAAAAACAGTGTTAGTGTATAACCTACAATTGGTAAACAGTACTTAATTAATTTAACCATTTTGTCACAATCTTACTCAGTATTTAAAAGAATTCTGCCACTGACTGTGTCTAAGGCACCAACAGTTCAAATTTTTGTTGAGTGAGGGATGGGTTTTTTTCCCTCGAAAAACTCGTTTTGTACTTCATAAAAAACTTTCTTTCTATTTTTTTGCAAGACTTAATTTTTTGAAAATTCAAAGTCTTTAATGTATTTATTTTTCCCATCCTTATAAAAAACAAGTATTTTTTTTTCATTTCCCTTATGAAACAAAATATTTTCAAAAGATTTAGAATCCATCAATTTAGTTCATAAAATAAAACGAATGTTGAGTGTTTAATGATTTTAATGTTGAATATGTTTCAAAGGTGAAAATTTCATGTTCCTTGAAGCCCTTGTAACACTGAATCTCACTTTTCGCTTTGGGTGCTAATGGAATCTGAAGTGATCTATATTTTGGTCTGGGTCCATATGATTTATTCGTTAGCTGTAATAAGAATTGTGCTAGCTATGAGTACTAAGTGTCTTATTGTAAGTTGTTTTTATGCTCTGTGCTGATCATTTTGAGTCAAACTCATTCCAACTGATTTTTATACGACCACAAAAATTAAAAATTTTTTGGTCGTATATTGGTATGACGTTGGCGTCGTCGTCGTCGTCGTCGTCCGGCGTCGTCCGAAGACACATTGGTTTTCGCACTCTAACTTAAGTTTAAGTGAATGGATCTCCATGAAATTTTACCATAAGGTTCAATACCACGAAAGGAAGGTTGGGATTGATTTTGGGGGTTATGGTACCAACAGTTAAGGAATTAGGGGCCAAAAAGGGGCCAAAAATAAGCATTTTTGTAACTTCCAGACAATAACTTGTGTGTAAGTGTATGGATCTCTCTGACATTGTACCACAAGGTTCCATATCACAAAGGAAAGGCTGTAATTGATTTTGGGGGTAATTGCCTCAAAATTTTAGGAATTAGGGGCC